CCCCAGAATTCTACTGATCTGGTAGCCCCGCCTATTCTTCCTGCCAGGTTACTAGCCAATCAGTGTTTTATTCATTAACCAATAAGAGAAACATATATACAGGAGGACATCCCCCATCACTGCATGCTACAATAGTCATTTGCCTGGAAAAAATGTGCTCATTGATGTAATAGTGGCATGACTAATATAAAGGAAACCAACCACTTTCTCATTAGATGTGAGGCCCACAGGAGGGAATTCATGACTGGTACTGTAAACATTGTCAAAGCCCGTCCATGACTAGGAAGCCAGGGAAGTCAGAAAACTTAGGAGGGAAACTCCTATCATTGTTTGATAAATGAATATTTTGTCAAACTGACTTTTTCTATTTATACCCAAGTTTAGCACTGGTCTCAACATTTGTCAGAGAAGCTTCCTTTTTTTTTTTTTCCCCCCTGAAACAGAATTTCTCTGTGTAACTTTGGTTGTCTTGTAACTCGGTTGTAGACAAGGCTGGCCTCAAATTCACAGAGATCTGCCTGCCTCTGCCTCCTGAGTATTGGGATTAAAGGAGTGCACCACCACTGCCCAGGCAGAAAAGTTTCTTTTTGTAATAAGTAGTAATCAATGCACAGAAGTGCAACTGATCAAAATGCTATTAAGTGTTCTGCCCCAAATGGGATATAGATCAATATCCCCTGTGAAGGCTCAGGGAACAGCTTAGGAAAGTGGAGAGAAAGAATACAAGAGCTAGAGAATGTTCATTGTAGTTTTAAAAAGCAGCTCAAGAGAGAAAGATGCCATGAGACAGAGTTCAAGTGTAAGGTGTTTTTTTGTTTGTTTTTGTTTTTTTTTTTAATTAAGGGAAAAGGATCGTAAAAAGGGGAAGGAGGAGGGAGGCAGACTAGCCTCTGGGAACATGAGCAGAGGGAGATAGGAAAGGGAGGGTGAGAGAGAGAGAGAGAGAGAGAGAGAGAGAGAGAGAGAGAGAGAGAGAGGAACAGCCAGAAAGAGGGGTGGGAAGAATCAGTTTTTATTTGGGAGTGTAGCCTCTGATAGGCTGCCCACGCTCTGGTGGAGGATCTCACACCCTGCATGAAGGCAATGTTAACTGGATTTAGTGGAAAAAAGAGAAGGAGAAGAGAAATGAGAAGGAGAAAAGGAAGAGAAGGAGATGAAGATAGAAGGGGGGGTTCCACGGGGAATTTGGGGTAGATATGATCAGGATATATTGTATACATGCATGAAATCGTCAAAGAATAAATAAAAATATTCTAAAACAAATAAATGTGGAGTGTGAAGCGAAGGTCCAAAGCACAGAGATAACCCTTGAAGGAAGAGACAAAACCATGGAGACCTTGTGGCCCAGGGCATTCACCATACACCAGTGGCCCGTGAACATAGATCTGAATTGTTTTGTAGAAATGCCATCCTGCTGACAGCATAAAGGTGGCTTAATGAGAGGATAAGGTAGCTACTGAGCTACTGAGCTACTGAGATACAATTATTATAACGCAGTTATAATAATTGTTAGAATGCCAGGTATTGTGAATATTTAGGAAGTCAGAGAAGACTGCTGATTGCTGCCTAACAACAAGGCTGCTGGATTGATGGAGGGTAGGGGCACGGATGACACACACTGGGAAATCTCTGAAAGGCACTGGTTTCACATTGAATAACTACTCTGCTCTTTGCTTATCCAACCTCCCTCTGGCACACAGAATACACGTTTCATTCCTTTCCCAGGGAATCAAAGAAAATTCTGCCATAACGCTATTACGTGTTTTCATATAAATCAAGTCTGCCCAAGATGTAATCAGAGCGAAACGTCACCATTGCAAACTCCATTATTCACAATGGTATTCAGTGGGTGTGTCCCCTGCTAGGGTTTACGACACCCTGGACAGAGATGATGGGTGCTGGAATTGGCTCCTGACTCACACAGCTGCCAAGCTGCCTGGCACACAAGCTCTACCAACAGGTGGCTAGTTGGTCCTACCAAATCCTCTTCCATGCAAGACAGCAATGATAAATTACTAAGTTGGTGATGATAGGAAAGAAAAGGAGAGAGAAAGTAACCACAGTAAAATCTCACCCAATGAAGAATGAAGAGGAACACACGGCGGCTTCCAAAAGCAAAACAAACTTTGCAGTTTGCTGGAGCTGTGTCATCTCTTAAAAATAATAAATAATAATAATAATAATAATAATAATAATAATAATAAGACTGTGCAGGTTGGGAACTGCACGAGACTCACTGTAGCAGCCAAACAAGTAGAAACAAACTACTCAGCCTCCACCTGCCAGACTAAGCAGGCTGACTCAGGGCAGGGACCATGAAGATGAAGTCACCTTTTCTTTACTTGCTCATTTCACACAGCACAGATGGCAATGACAATCAGGGCAAATTGAACTGAATCTTACTTGATTTCCTTATTTTAGTGTAATTTATGTGCATGGGTGTTTGGCCTACATATGTGTCTGTGCACCATGTGTGTGCCCAGTGCTGAAGGAGGCCTAAAGAAGGCATTGAACCCCCTAGAACTGGATTTGCATCATGTGGTGGCTGAGAATCGAACCTAGGTCTTCTGAAAGAGCAGCCAGTGCTCTTAACAATTGAGTCATCATCTCTCTGGTCCCTGTTAAATAAAACCTTTTCCAAAATTGCCTGGTGAAATTTTTATATAGGAAAAAAAATAGTGAAAGTGTTTTTTTTTTTTCTGTTTCATTTGCATAGATGACCATTTGAGCTATCAAGAAAAGAGAACTCTTCTCTCAAAATATTTAGGTATGCCTTTTCATAAAGTTCTCTGAAATAAAAGCAAAGTTGCCAGGTTCTGGGTAATGTTTTATTGATACATTGCATTTAGTTTGGTTTTCTGTAATTTTCATTCAGTTTTAGTTGCTTTTGTGAATTCAGAACACATGAGAACTAGACAGTATAGCTCCAAGTCAAAACACCTTCTTAATACATCTTGAACCTGCTGGCCAAGTGTCAGAAGCACCGCCTAGCTTTGGTATTTGTCTCTAAAGTGACTACATTTGTCAGGGAACTGTTTCCTGCTAATGACATCACAGTGCTAATATTTTTCCTTCTGACTTTGACAGGCAAATGAGGCCTTGACTAGATTACCTTAAGTAAACAAATGTGGGCAAAGAGATTATCTAGCATTACACTCTATTGTAGTCCTTAAGACACAGGCCCAATATTTTAAAAGGATTAGCAATCTCACTATGTACCTTAAAGGAAAGCCCTTTGCCATATAGTGGCCTTGGCCTTGAGCAATGGCACACCTAACCTTCTCTTCCAGCCCCCTTTCATGAGAGGCCATCACCTGTGTGGCACAACAGGCCTGACTTAGAGAAGGAAGTTACACCACAGGGTGGGGGGTTGGGGGAGTTAAGTTTTTGAACTTGAGCTAGGATATTTTAAAATTCCAAGGCATTTTCTTAACTATCGGTCTATCTTAAAGATGTTGCTCAAATGAACAGTGTTCAAAATTAAGCTTAATGGGTCTCTACAGAGGCAGAAATGATACATTTTGTAAGGGCTCTGTGTTGGCGCTCAACATACAAAAAGCAGCGGAGGAGGAGAATGTGTTTCTTTTGGTTGCTGATTTCAGTAATTCGTGTTATTGGGTGATCAGATAGCCTAATTTAAGGGATTAGCCGCTGTCTTACCATGTCATTCCAGGGTCCAAGAATTCCTTTGGAGATTTAGAACAAATCCTAGGAATAAGGATCCAATTTTTCAGTCCAAAATGACTTCATGGGACACCAGTGAAAAAAAGTCAGAAATGAGGGAATCCCTTAAGAAAGGGATATTTGATAACTCAATAGCACAAATTAATTGTGAGAATGCTCAGGGAATCCAAATGCATTATAATTAATTTAATTCTTAAGAAATACATTGAATAAAGTAGTTAATCCCTGTAAATGTAACCTACTGGAGGGAGGGTGGGAGTTGGAGGGCTCTGCCCTTCTTTGGTCTCATAAGCCAATCACAGACAGGAGCTGGATGTGTCTGTGTATGACTACATGAATCTCCAGGCAGAAGTGTGTGTGTGTGTGTGTGTGTGTGTGTGTGTGTGTGTGTGTAAGCTATAGTGTAAAGACACAAATAACCCTTTCCTGTACAAATATACAAAATATAATAAGTACAGACTGATGACTGTCACTAGTCAGCACCAGAAACTCTGCTGCAGGAGAACGGCCCTGCCCTTCTGATCAGGGAGAAGAGAGCTGAGCCTGTATGATGCTGAATTTGTGGAATTTACTGACTCATTTTATCTTTCCCCCAGCAGGTCCAGAGATAAAAAGCACTATATTTTAAAACGGAATTCCTCCCTACAGAAACGTTTTATGAATTACTCAGTTCAGATTAAGCCTCTCTGAAAATAAATAAATAAATAAATGAAACAATTACTGTGTCCATTTTTTATGGCCTGCTCAGCATGATTCAGTAAGAGACATTTAGCAAATAAGATTGGTAGACTGTTAAGGATCTTAAACAGTGTCTTAGCTATTGTGTCACACCAATGCTTTTTAAACAGGAAAAACAGTATTCTCCAGCCCTTTTTATTCAAAATATTAGCAGTCTGAAGTTATGTTAAACAGTTAATGGTTCTGCTTGTTTGTCTCAGTGAACCCCAGACCTTACACATGATAGGCAGGTGCCTTACCCCAGCCAGCTAGAACATCTAGGAAAAGGGTTGCTACACCACAGAAGTCAATCCAGGCAACCCAAACCTAGCACCCTCCATTGGCCTGGCCAGCAGCTGAGCAGTGCAGGTAAGGAGCTTTTAAGGATGAACACCCTGTTCTTATCATCTTCCATCTAGTGCAATCTCAGAAGCACGGAGTGCTGTCCCACACTGGGTGATCCCCAAGCCTGTTCAGACTTGCTTTCTTCTGGGGCAATGATCAAGGGCTGGAAGCTAGGAGATCAAAGCCTGGTTTCTTCTCTTAGTCCCACCTCAGCTCTGCCTATGAAGCCATCCCTCCATCTGACCTCCAAAGAGCAGCCTTTGTTCATTCCATGCAGATGTCCTGAATGCACACCCTGTGCAAAGGGGCGTAAACTGAGCACTTGTGGTTTCATCCAGTTCTGGAAGAAGTGGCTGTGCAATGGAAGGAGCCACTGTGAATCACCAGAGTGGGGGGAAAAAATGCAGATTGAAATAAACAGAGAGGCAACTGGAAATGACGAGCATGAGCAGGCGATGACTAAGGGACAGATCAGTGCGTCAGACAAGGAGCTCTTATGGAGGTGGCTTGGAGGTGGGCAGGAGACCGGAAGAAAGAGCTATCATTACACTTTCATGATTGTGTGCCCACGTCCACCCATGCAAAAAAAGGAGGCACTGGCGTAAGTACTGTCACCCATGTAATTGTGACCCTTTTTTGTCTTCACAAAAGGAAGGAGGGAGGCAAAGGTGAGGTGGCCAGAGACCTGAACAGAAAGAAAACCAAAGGACTAGGCCAGTGGATCAGCTGTGGGAAAGGCTCAAGCCCGAGGCCAGTTCCTGCTGTCAGCACAGCAGCAAGGAAAATGGAGACAAAGTGAAAGAGGGCAAGAATGATGCCACTTAATAGTCTCAGACGCTTGTTACCCTACTCTAAGGTCAGTAGGTCAGCAGAGGAAACAGGGCACAGAGACCTGGAGGCTAGGAAGGGTCCTGGGAGGCAGCGAGGGCTCTACAGGTTCCTGGATCCTCAATATCTTTTTTGAATTCATTTTTTAATTTCACTTTTATTTATGTGTGTGGGTCTATGTGCATGTTTATGCAAGTGCTTTCAAAGGCCCAAAGGAGAGGGCATTGGCTCTCCTGGAGCTGGAGTTACAGGCAGTTGAGAACTGTCACATGTGGATGCTGGGAACTAAACTGGGGTCCTCTGCAAGAGCAAAAAGTGCTCTTGTCTGGTGTGGCGTATCTCCAGCCCTATGCACAATACCTTTTAGATGGCTCAAGGCTTGATCTCTCCTCAACACACTGGCAGTACCCACCATGTGACACCTCGGCTTTGGTACCTACCTCTGGTGCTGATTTGGGAGTTGCTGGCTTAGAGTAGAACAGTTGTGACTGGCTTAGACTAGATGGCTGGCCAGTGAGCCCCCAGGATCTGCCTGTCTCCATGGCATGCACCATCAGGCCTAGCGACTTTCCCCTGGGTTCTGGGGGGTTGAATTTGGGTCATCATGCTTGTGTGGCAAGGACTTCACCTACTGAGCTATCTCTCCAGCCCCTCACTTGGTTTTTAGTTGTCAATTCATTTGGGTTTCATAACTCTACTGAGATACTTGGAAGGCTAATTTGCTGACTCCAAAAAGACCTGAATTCCCAGAGAAACATGTTTAGATTCCGAGTATGTTAACCCTTCTACTGTAACTGCTTGTGTGCTTAGGCCCTTGGGCTGTCTAGATTTTACATCCACAGAAAACACAGCTAAGAATAGCGAGCCCTTCATGTCTTCCTCTCTGAGGGTTCAGAAATTTGGATCTTAACAATGGTTTACAATTTTTTGAAAATATTCAAAAAAACTGGACATATACAGACTTTTTTTCTTGTCATTAATCAGTCCCTAGATAATACAGTATTGGTATGTGGCATTGACATCATTGTGGGTATTGTAAGTAATCTACAAATGATTTACAGTATATGGGATGATAGGCATAAACTATGTGGAACTACTGTGCTGTTTTACATGAAGCATTTGAGGATATTGATATGGAGTTGTAAGTCTTGAAACCAATCCCCTTTGGGTACCATGGGACACCTGCAATGATGAAATCTCTGCTCTTTGGATACATTTGCTATGTCCTGCACAGGACCCAAGATGTATATGTAAGAGGCATGCAGATACAAAACTCCATAAACGAGTTCGTGTGGGATAGATGCTGCATGTCTACACAGTCACAGAACCCACTAGCACTCTTCCTACTGTGTGGTGTTTTGCAGGGAGGAAAAAAGACTTTATCCTCAAAAATCAGTTGTTTCATACTCTTAAATTATCAAAAGCAAAAAAAAATAGATGGGGCTATTAAACTTGAGGGTTAAAAATATTCTTGGTGCAGAAGAGAATTCTGACTCACGCTATAACATGGTAAACACTGAGAACATGATGTCAAAGGAAAATATATGATTCCATCCTCATAAGGCAATCCCATAGAATTCGAGTAGTAACAACCATAGACTCAGGGTTAAAGTGGTGGCTGCTAGGAGCCAGGGAGAAGCCAGATGAGACCCATTGTTCAGTAAGTTCAGAGCTCCAGTTTTCTGAGACGAAAGAGAGGTGTGGCGGATGATGGAGCAACAATGTGAATCGCCTTAATTTGCTACTAAAATACACTCTTCAAAGTGGTTAAAATGGGGAGTGTGTGATTTAGCGCGCTCATGGCCCAGAACCAATAGATCAATAAGAGCTAAAATGGACAATGTTGTCTCATATATTCTCTCAGTTTTTAAAAAGCTGAGAGCAAGTGTGTACATTTGCTGTGATAGCTGGGATTTGCTAAACAGAGCTGGAGAGAAGGAAAGTGGATCAGGAAGACAAAAACACAGTTGGCCAGGAGCTACTAATGTTCACAGCTGAGAACACCAGGGGAGGCTGCTGGTGGTATGCTATTTACATGGATTCTTTTGCATGATTTCCCAGGATTTAAATGTTTTTGGTGTTGGGTGTTGTGTGTGTGTGTGTGTGTGTATGTGTGTGTGTGTGTGTGTGTGTGCCCACGAGCACATGTTTGTTTTGATTTTTGTTTTTCAAGACAGGTTTCCTCTGTGTAGCCTTGGCTGTCCTGGAACTCACTCTGTAGACCAGGGTGGCTTCGAACTCACAAAAATCCACATGCCTCTGCCTCTCAAGTGCTGAGATTAAAGGTGTGAGCCACTAAACCTGATTTAAGCATTTTTTTTTAAAGAGTTGAAAAAGGGCTTAGATTGAATCCCTCCAGCAACACATACACACACAGACACACACACATACACACACATACACACACATACACACTCACACACACATAGAGCTTTATAATTAAACAAAGTTGTCTAAATAACAAAAAATCTCAGAAAATAGCAAGATGGCAATTTTTGAAGAATTATCCACATGTATATTCCTAGAACTGTATCACATACACATACATTCCCTAGAGATAAAAATGTAATTGAACTTGGAGGCATGCTCAGGACACCAGGTTTGATCCCTAGCATCAAGAAGAAAACAAAAGAGGGAATAGAATATCAAAGGGAAAGAACTACCAAGTGACACAGGAGCACTTGATGCTTTGCATTCTGGCCACACCAGACAGGGTTAGGATCTGAGTCTCAAGTCTTGAATTGTAGCACATCCTGGTCCTAGAAAGAGCACCCTGTATCCAGGAAGGGACCAAACTGCCACACCCAGCCAGGCTCTCTTGAGCTGAGCTTGGACAACAGATACACATTCCTGCTCCTTCCCTTCCTGGGATTAGATTGATGAGGGGCAGACATTGAGCCCTGGGTCGACCTGGAGCAGGGCCAGTCAGAGCCATCAGCCCACTCTGCCCCAGGGCATCTCTCACAGAGCCCAGACACAGAGGCTGGGAGGAACCTTGCCAGGTCACTGGAGGAGCCCCTGAAAAGACAGCTCCAGTGGGGCTCTTCCCATCACAGTCATTGTAGAGCAAAGGACTTGGAGAAGACTTGATGTGTGTGTAAATCTTGTGCTTTACATTGAACACTGTACCCTCCTATTTCATAAATAGATGCACAGATATTTACAGTTTTATATCTTTCTGCCCTGGTGTTTATTTAGCTTGGGATTGGGGCACCATGAAATAGCAATATGTACCCAGTTGGCTATCCTAAAAGAATTATAAGGGTTTTTTTGCTTGTTGTTTTTTAAGTTTTATATATATAACCTATTTTTCTTCTGTATTTATGGATAACATACAGCAAGAAGAGTGAATTAAAAGAATTATTTAATGAATAAGGGCAAGATCAATTTACATTTCCTCTGATAAGGAGAAAAATAAAACTACAGAACACTTCCTTGGAAGCCCCATGTGGGATTATGGTGAAATCAGCCCTAACTAGAAATGGCCAAGGTGTCCTGACTCCTAGAGGGAAAAAAAAGAGTTTGGGGCAGGGACAAAACAACTGTGTGAGGATTTCCCCAAAGTATGGAGAGACACTCTACACAGATTCACTCTTTGCCCTCTGGATAAGGAAGTCACTAAGTCCTGGTCCCCTAGGAACTGCCCTGCTTTGTTCCTGACCTGGGCTTTAATGGGTACAGAGGGTAGGGTCAAAAGCCAAACCTCACACACTTTCAGCAGATGGGGAAAGAGACACTGGTCTACCAAATGTCTCTGAGAAAGCTTCTAGCTTCTCCCATTGGCTGTACCTTAACCATACAAAAATGCTTGGATGGATGGATGGATGGATGGATGGATGGATGGATGGATGGATGGATGGATGGGATAGCGAGTGACCTCCAGGATTTGCTAGAGAATGACACAAGCCTTAAGAGGAACAGATGCTTATACTCCTGGCTCTTTCCTACACCCTACAGTTGTACAGAGTCAAAAAAAAAAAAAAAAAGAGCCATTAAATGAAAAAAAAAAAAAAGAAAGTTAAGGAATAGTTCAGATTTTACTTTGTGCATGTCCTGGCTGAGCATGCTTGATTGTGAGGTTTATCTTACATGACAATGGTACAGACAGAGCTGGGAATCACTGTGGCCTGCTTTACACCTAAGGCTGAGAGTCGGGTTCCAAATCACTAGCTACATTTCTGTGGTTCTGAGCTAAATCCCTATGGGCACCACTTCCTGAGCAAACATAAGCTGATTGGAGCTTGACTTCATTTAGAAACCCATCAACCTGGAAGAGGTGGTCATTGGCCAAAGCACCTCATTTCTTAGGCATGGAATTTACACGTCTGCAAAAGGAAAAGTTATTTCTAAACTCTATTCCAACTCTCACATGCTATGATTCCACAGATAAAATATTAAATAAAAAATTGGAACTATTATTATTATTATTATTATTATTATTATTATTACTATTATTATTATGTGTATGCGTGTCCCACATGTGTGCAGGTGCCCATTGGGGCCAGAAGAGAGAGCATCAGACACACAGTGAGTAACCCAAGATAGACCATGAGGACCAAACTCAGGTCCTCTGGAAGAACAGCAAATGCTCTTTCTTAACCACTGAGCCAACCCTCCGGCCCCACAGGAGTCTTTTAAAAGGAAAATTAGAGGCAACAAGCTAGCCTATAGACAATACTTAGCAGATAACTCTTAAAAGGAGAAGAATGTGAACCCACAGGGAGGAAAGAAGAGCGGCCCTTCCTTCAGTAGATGCAGAACTAAGGCTCTTTC